GCTTGTATGAATTGTTTTTGGGCACAGACGTAGTTTTTCAGACGAATGCCCACCGCTTCTGCCGTGGCCAGCGTCCGACAACGAGCCTGTCTCGATATTCGCCCATGAATTTTATACAGTGGTCGGAAAGCCTGGAACACGTCCATAGTGTGATTTATTTCAGCTAGGTGTGAAATTAGTGCACTGATGAGTGACTTAATCGTCCCGGTGTTCAGCCACGCAGACTGGTGTTTACGAACCCGATCGGATAACTGACTGACCGTGCGGCCTATGTACGATGTTCCACAGGGACAAGAAATGATTACACACAGAATGAGATCACAGAGTCTGGAACTTCGTCCCTCAGTGGCAAACACAGTTGGCTTAGAAGTGGACAACATACAAAGCTTGGATGCACAGAAAGTCTTATCGATTACGTCGGATGATCTTCTTTGTACACTCTCAGCTGATGTGTTTCCCCTGAACGGCAATGAAATATACAAGGATTATTTCTTAACCTCAGTGTTTTGTAAACAATTCTCAGTGCACTGAAGCATTTTGTTGACCAAACTTTCCGGATACCCCTTACCTGCAAAGATCGATTTTATAGCACTGAGCTCCTCTTCAAGAGTCTCCTCACAGCAGATCTTTCTTGCCCTATGCACGGAACGCTGCACCGAACCATTTGGGTGGCGGGTGTTGCTGACATCTACAACGGCAATTTGATGTTACACTACACATTATCTAAGTAAGTATTATGTTAGGATTTGCAGTGATAAAACTGCTTCATAGCTCTGTTGTATACGATGTTGCGTTCATCACACAAAAATATCGTGTATAGTACACAGTCTTCATTGGATGACTATAATTAAGTGTTTTCAAGTTTCACCATGAATAAGACCGCGAAAAGCGGTCTCAGCTGAGACTCAATGGCCACACCATCCTTCTGTCGATGGATCTCATCGTCGAATTTGAACCGAATATTTTCGCTATTAATCATTGCTTTAACTTGGACTGAAGTGCCAGCTTGTTGCGTTACTTAGTTTCTAGTAGTCATCGTGTGATTTGGAAGTTGTCTCAATGTCTACGACCAACTAGGTCGTAGTTAACTACAAGCAGAGTTTCATTCATTCTTTTGTGTCACCCATTTTATGTGAGATACAGTCACGCTTGTTGATTTTCATACACATGATTGTGAACATCAATCTCTCCTTTCGGCATCGATCGATAGAGTCATTTATGAACATCTTCCTCGTGACAATTGAAAAAATAAGTTTTTCGGTATTTCCCTCAACAGATTATTTGACACAGAGCGTCTTTAATTGTGGATGGTCAACTAAGGTGAACATGTAGATAAAGACGAACTATTTCTCAGTATGGACTTCTGCTTTGGCTAATCAAAGGATCTGCGTAACTTTTCCCGATTTTTTCGAGCTGATAAGCTTTAGATATTGTAATGACTGTGGTGGATTTTCAAAACAGCCTAGTAAACCTCGCCAGGATCTGCAATGATTATGGAGCTGTATCCGACCTAAATTATCCAGCAGACATTTTGCTACAGGTAAAGTAAACAAGATATTCAATGTCGAGTTTGTCGTGCGTGGCTTGCTTGCTTCACATTCGACGTGCTCACAAGGTAAATAATATTTTGTTCATTTGTGTCTGGCATTGGTAAGCTTCTACTTTAGTCGACTAACGCTGAAGCAGGTAGCATCAAACAGCCGACAACGACAACTGTTTTCAGGGCACACGGAGAGGAATTCCGAAATCTGTTTTTATTCCATCAGAATGTACTGATCAAAGAACTCAACCAAAAGAGTTTCGACAAACGTTGTACAAATAGTTTGAAGTATGACAGGCAACCGTGAGGATTAGCAAATCGTTGATGAAAAAGGGATACATTTATGCCTAGCTCGAATGTGCAACAACAAATGTCCTGTGAATAAGAGCGGTGCTGAATGCACGCAAATTGATCACACGAACGAGCAGTCGCAATCAGCCGGTGATTCGAATCGGACAAGTGAATTCGCGAGTTGTGAACGCGAGAAATTTGTAATCCGTGTTCATGTAGAATTTGATCGGATCCGTTTGGGTCTGGCGAAGTAGCGACAAAACCAGGTCGGTTTTTTTCTGGACGAAATAGGAAGAAAACAATACGAATCAAGTGCAGTTAAGTGTCGAAAGTGGGCAACATTGTGGGTAAGTGAAGTGANGATGGATCAGAGGCAGTCCGTGCATCATTCAATTCCGACGACAACAATAAAAATGGAAATTGATCGATTTGAACTGAAGATCCTTCGGACTTTACCTTCACTCAGTTCATCGATTTAACCATACATTTAGAGGAACCAGACTCGAGTTTCGCCGTTATTAGAGCTCATCAGTAGTGTACATCCACCGATGGTTGTCGCAGTGACAATTCACACACATTCCGGACGGAACGGCGTATATGCACTACTGATGAGCTCTGACAAGAGCGAAGCTCGATTCTAGTTTTTCCGAGTTTATGGTTGATTTGATGAACTGAGGATGGTGTGTGAAGGTGAAGTCCGAGGAATGTTCAGTTCAAATCAATCAATATGAACTATCCCACACCACTACTCACAAGTAATTGTGAGTTAAATGTGGAAATGGAAATTCAGCTTGAAAGTGGCGCACAGATGACAATGAGTACTCACCTCAAATATTGCAGTACTGATCGGACCGGTCGGGATGACATGAATCAAACAGGTGAGTGGGTAGATCACGCGCAGGAAATGTTCCGAATAGACTTTTTGCATCTTTTCCAAATCTTTCTGCGAAAACCGAGCACACAACGTGAGCATTAGATTAATGGGAATGCGTCTGCAATATACGCTCTAGTTGTTGTTACGTTCCATTTCCTCTGGTAAGAAAATTGCTCTCAAAAACAAAAATTGACTGTAGATAAACCTTGGCGAATGAACGAACGAATACTCAGAAGTGAGCCTGGTTTATTACATTTCTGGGGAATATGGCAGTATATCTCCTACTGACATTTCTATGCAACCATGGAATCTTTGAATCAGCCAAATTTTCCTCCGTATGAATGCTGAGGCAGTGGGAGACACATTATTTGACTTGGACTTGAGCTGTTCTGCATTTGAAAAAATAATAGTAGTAAAGAAATAAGTGCCTGAGGTTTTACCTGGGCAAGCATCCTTTCATAAAATGATGATGAGTCCCAATAAAAGAGTGATTCGTCTGTCGAGAACACTGTGTCGCCTATTACACAAGTTCGTTAAAATGTGAAAAAATAAATTAACTCCCATAGAGTGGAACGCACACACGAACAAAGATGCACAGACCTTGAGGTCTTCAGCTGTGTTTGAGATTATGCAGAACACAATCTAATCACACACTGAATAACGGATTGCCCTCAGAACGAGATGGTTCAAGATGAACATATGTTCAAAACATGTCAATTTTTAAAATCATTAAGCTTCTCATGCAGTGTAGCGATTTCATTTGGCATATAAGGACTGGTGGTAGCGATTATAATATGAAACTTGTGGTCCATTGATCGCTCATTGGCAAAACAAAATGTCGAAGCCTTCTACATAGGTATGAAAAAATCGGTCATTATTATCTTTATTTTCGAAAGCATACCGCTTACCTTCTGTGCAGCGGGTATTTCTTTCAGTACTTCATTCCATGAAACCTTTTGGGAAATAAAAACCGATAACATTGTGTGAGATCCCTCATATGTCATTGATACTATGCAATTGATCTCGAAAATGGAAATAAGTTTGCGAGCAATTCAATTCGGGGATAAAGCCTTTGGATTGTCTCAAATATCCCTATGGAAATTTACACACAGAATACGGGTATTCGAGTGCATTTCAAACAGAGTCCATCTTAGACCGCTTAAAAACAAATGCGTGCAATGCACTTCAACTCGGATCGTTATTCTTGACATAATCTGAGTATTTGACTAGTTACAAGGGAGGCTCTGATTTTACTGCCTGTAACATTTTATTTGTGAACAGAGTGCACTTATTTGTGTCAAACCTCATTTGTACATTTGTTTCCAGTGAATCCACATCCAAGCCATTATAATCACATTCACATGGATTTCAGTCGGGACGGCTTGTAGTAGTCTCTCAAAGTAGGACGCAGAGGGTCATGACGGAAGTGTAGATAAATAGAAGGAATGAATGGCTTATTAAAATGTTATTTAGAATGACTGGCACAAACTTCCATAGTTTCGCGTCACTTCTTCATAAACGCAGTTTTAGCTATTACTGTCAAGATCTTCATCTCCCGCCGTGGGATACACCGAAATTTTATCACCAAACAGATTTTTGTGTACTGAATAGCAAATTGAGTGAAACCTGTACTCGCAAAACCGGCTTTTCAGCTGTGGAAACCGGCACCCTCACACTTGAGATTTGGAGTGGTGAGCCACATGAGGCCCTGCTAGATTGGGCGTGATATTGAAGCCGACGACTGTAAGGCCTTCTACCACCAAATTTGGGTGGGTCGGACCAATGCGTGCCATTGACAGCAACTAAATCGCTACACCAACACCATTCTGAAGAACTCAGCTAACTCAGTAGAATTGGTGAGGTTGAAAAATGAAATATTTCGTTGAAATTATTTTCAAGAGAGACTCGCTTATCAACAGCACGTTACACTTTGGAGTTGAAAACCGCAGATCAAATATAGTTCGACCATCACTCAAACCAACCAGACAAGCATACGATTTATCACAAAACACGTTCGGATGCGAACAGTTGTGTTTTCGAATGATACATAATCGTGCCTGTGCAGATCATATAAAAGTTTGTTGTTAGTGGAGACACATTATCACGCCGGGTCGAAAGGTCATTCGGAATAGGGAGAGGGGAGGGGTGGTTTAAGCCCCGGAAACAGTAGGCAAACATAGAAGTGGCCAGTGTAGGCAGCCTATCTTTGTAGCTAGTTCGGATGATCGGTAAGCCTGTAGTTATCTATCTTTCAAGAGCGTTTGTAATGCAACGTACATTGGTTGCACGGCGAGGCAACTATCTCAACGAATGAAGAAACACTGCTCACGCAGGTTAAAATAAGGAGGAACGGGAAGCATAGGAAGCACCATTCTCGATCATCTAGTGGATACAGACAATCTTATCAGACCAGAATCCACTTTCAGCGTATTCTGTCATGTGCCCTCAACCCCTCTAAGACAGTGCGCTTACTCATACTAGCCACCGCCGAGGCGATAGGCATTCATCTTTTTGCACCAGAATTTAACAGTACAATCTCGTGTGAATTCTAGAATAAGGTAATTTGCCACCTAGGAACGGCACTTACGGAGGGGCAGGGCCAGAGCAGAATATCATCGACTGAGTCCAAGGCCACTTTCAGCGCAAGAAAAATAAAAATTGCGGGTCTAGGCAAGAAATGTTTATATTCCGAAATTTGACCAACAGTGAAAATTTTGTCGACGAGCTTTTGATCAGGTTGAGAACCAGCCTGGCTGTCACGCGTTTACCATTCACGCGAAGCAGACAATCGATGAAGTACAACGCCCAAAATACTTGAGCTAATTTTTTTTGTATAAATGACTACACGTTTAGAAGGATCGTGCAACCAAACAATTTGAAGGATTGATCCTTTTCTGGAAACGTCTTTTAGAATCCAGTGGTGTCCATTTTTAGGTATCCTGGATACATGCTTGACTAGTAACGTTAAACGTTACGAGACAACAAGTGAACTCACTCGTAATGCTTCCATCAACAGAGGCGTGTCAGCAACATATGGTAAAAGGGCACATGAGGGTGGAACTTGACGTAGATAAACAGAATCTTTCACGTTTGTTGATAAACTGCCGAAAAGCACATTTCCGAGCATTTCCCAGTACAAACTCATCAAAGGCAGATAGCCACATAATCCAACAATAATATCCGGTAATGTTCTGAAGCGGAAACAAATAGAAACAATTTCTACCAGTAGGAACTAACATATCAAAAGGTTGACATGCAAATTCGTTTAAAGGCACAGGAATATTATTGAACTAGTGTTTAAATAAGTGACCCCAGTGGACTCTTTTGGAGTTATCTGTTTTCACGACCCGAATTCGGTCACTCCGTTTTCTTTGTGACTGGAAGTTCACTCTCTCTCGGTTGGTGAATGTACACTGCAAAGTTCAATCCCATGGATCCACTCACATGTAACACATACATGATAGCAAGCATCTGTGTTTGAACAGTACAGCCGCTTTTACAGCTTTTCACGAGGTAGGCGTAAAACCTGGACGAGGTCACAGGTAGGAATACTATATATTTTATGTAACAGGACAAGTTTCAGAGCTTCCAATAAACTAATCTGTTAAGGTACGTAGTGTGTCAGTACCTTCAGTGTGAAATACTTCTCAATAAAGGTGATGTTCGATAGCCCAAAGGCGCAATGATAAGCGACTAAAATCTTGCGTTTATGCTCTCATTTACGCTGGTTCCTCAGGGGCCAGTAGGGCGGCTCGGTATTTGTCGGGAAATCTAGTGGTAGGACTGGAAGATGAGAACTAATACAATCGCGTTCCTGCACATTTCACTGGTTTTCACTTCGCAAATGACCTTTTCCAATAGTTTTACAATCCGAACCCTCTCAACGCCACCTGATGATGTGTGATACATGCAGGTTGCGGGCTATTAAAGGAAAAAATATACTGCCTTCCACCCCCTGATTCCACTTCCTCCAACCTACCGAACTCCGTTGAAATTGAAATATCCTTAAAAGAAGGAGCTCCGTCCCAATTAAAGGCTCTTTTTTACAAAGGCACTGATTCCGACACGACTAAAACATTCAGAACAAATTTAAGATCACATGATTGGTAATTGGTTCATGTACACAATGTAGCTGAATTAGGCGGTGACTCAACTTTGAGTTTTAGGCCCGAGCCATTTTAGCGCAATTTAAAAAGGTGAAACAGGTTTTAAACGTTATTTTACCATGCTACTAGCGATGAATGGGCAGACCGATGCCCTCAGTATGCACCCATAGCATGATTTAAGGAATTAGTCTGAATCCACATGCGTGCCAGTGAGTATTTTTGCTCATACGACTGCGATGTACCCACTATCTACTTCACTTTTCACTGCCGAATTTTCACACAGGCAAAACACATGCGATCAACTGACCACAAGAATGGATGGAGAAATATCGTTTCCAGATATACTGCAGGAGGCAAACTGGCGGATTTCGCTTAAGAAATCCCAGGAAAGTGTGCTTTAATTATTTGAGAATTCGAAGGAATATCAATATCGGAATTGATTGATTTGGTGAATCCATCGAACTGTAAACGTAGTTCAATATACATCAATCCTATTTACTGATTTGTTAAATCCGCGTTCACAATTTGGCACGGGTACTGCTTCATCTCTTCCATTAAGAAGCAGTCTATGGAATGCTAACCAAAACCTTAACGTTGAGGACTTTCGCTCCTTTTATTTGAACCACCAATATAAGCGGGACCGTCGCTTTCATGCTTCGTGATACTTTAATGATAGGGTTGAGAATTTGGATTTTATCGATGTATTACTCATGAGTAGTCAAAACGTGATAACCAGTATTACCCATGATAGTACCTAGTTTTGCGCGTGGTATACATAACTAAACCGTTGTCACGGTGATTCATACTAAACATCCCTCGAACGTATGTCACGCCATTTCATTTCTCCTACTGGTTAGCAGTGAATTGTGATTCTTCTAGTTTCGGTCGTCTATTGTGAACGGCTCTCATTTGCGGATTAGTGCTAGTATCTGCTTTAGAGGGCAATTTTTTTCTCACTCCTTCAGGTAGTTTAAAATGACCGTTTGCCAAATTAGGTCCTACTTTGACCGACTTAAGTACAAACAAGCGCAGATAGTTTTCATATTCGAATGAGACACCGTGATGACTAGAGTATACGGCATAAAATTATAAGCAGTTTCACTCTACCTTTCAAAGTAAAGAAAATTCGACACTTCTATCCTTCGTAAAAATTAAGAAGCCTAAAATACTGCAGTTAAAACCGTCTAAAAAGTGCATCTCGACTCTAAAACTCAGGATAAACAAATTTTTCGTTGTATCTATGTTTCGCCTCCGAAAATGAACTGATGTAGCACATCAAGGAACTACCCAACTAGGTTGATATTCAAGATATTTATCGGAAGGCCTTTTACATCAGAGTTAGCAGAATTATCTACACTCAAATTGAATATTCATGGATTCAACAGTATTAGTTGAAGGCATATAGAAGATTCAAGAGTCAAAAAGGCAGCTAATTGAATAAAGGATGTTTCGAAATCAAATCAGTCCAATAGCTAATGTTGCATTCCTTGGATCGGCGCATTATTCTTATGTGATTAGGTCATGCATGCTCAATAACCAAGTATTACAGCTTGAATTATACTCTACAAAAGCCCAAATAGAATTTTTAAGAGTTTTGGTAAAAGTAATGAGAAAAACACAAATAATAACTGTTCTCTGTATAAAGTGTAGGA